ATGAAGGTCAGTTTCCAGCAGTATCGAGAAGCGTTTTCATTTGTTTTGTTTTGTTTTGTTTTGTGTTGAGATTCCTGTTTGCAGCACTTTTGTCCACCAACTGCAAGAATGAGTTGGAGGGAAGAGGCAGCATCAGCCCCGCGGTGCCAGGAAGCACGGGGAGGAAGCAGACAGCCATGGGGTGGCAGGTGACACTGCAGACCCGAGGTGATTACCAAAAACCACACACTCCAGCCTTTGCCGTCCAGGAAATGGGAAGCACCCGGCCAGAGAGCCTGCACAGCCTGGGGAAACCCCAGCCTCTCGTGGGGCTGCAGCCCTTTCCGTGGGGAGAGCAGGGATGGGGCTGCCCCGCGGCAGGGTCCCCAGAAGCAGGAGGGGGGGCAAAGGGGAGGGAGCACCCCAGGAGCCGGGGAAACCCCCCCTGCTCCCCCTGCCACCCCGGGGCCTCTGCGGGGAAACAAACCCAACAACACCCAACGAAACAAACTCCCCTCCCCACCAAAACACATCGAGAAAGCAGCCAAGGGAGAGAGGGTGGGAGAAAAACAGTGTTGTTTTATTTTAAGGCTTGTGTATTAGAATCAGAGAATCATAGAATGGTTTGGGTTGGAAAAGACCTTAAAGATCATCTAGTTCCAACCCCCTGCCCTGGGCAGGGACACCTCCCACCAGAGCAGGTATTAAACCCAAGTGTTGTGCTGGGAAGTGTCACTAAAAATTATTTGAGCAATCCCCACACAACAGACCTCACCTGGTTAATCTACTTGCAAAAGTGTACCTTAAACGCACAGCATGTTTTAAACAAACTCCCCAAAGGAGAGGCCTTATTCTAAAGAAAAACAAAGTTACTTGGCTCTCTGGTACATGAAAAAAAAATAGAGGACTCAGAATTAAATCAAAACTTGAGGAAAAAAACTGTAGGCCTTTAAGTAATCATAATTTTGTCCCCTTAGGTTTGTGTATTACCCTATAATAATGTATTAGATTTTCACCTACTCCACAGTCATACAGAACACTCTTTTTTGGATATTTTGTACAGGTAAAACAAGTTTCTGTACATCTTCCCCTGAGGTTCTGTCTCCCGGAGCAGTGTGCTGATTCCGTAGGGGGCACCGCAGTCTGACCCGCGTGGAGACACGGGCAGAGTTAGACGTGTCCCAGCTGCCAGGCAATTGCAATCACAATTTCAATGTTGCATCAAGGTATTTTTTTCATCCTGAAGACTATCCTTTGTAGAAGAGAAAAATGCTGAATATGGACTGTGTGGAAAGCAAAATTAAGTCAACATCTTAGAAGGACTTTATTGTGAAATAAGCAATCACAGCAATGTCAGGGTTCAGATAAGCATCATCTGCAACATTTAGCTTTGCCCAAATGCAGTACCAGCAGCTGCAGCTGTAAAAAAGGCCTCTCCAGACCATGAAAGTAATTCAACGAGACACATTTCCTTCTTTTTCCCATATTCATTTCCTTTTGCTTCTGATTTTTGAATTTCTAGGGTACGAGACTAATTCATGTGTCCCAGCTTTGCACTGCCTCCATGAATGCAGAAAAAAAATCCCTTCAAAAGAAATTACATTGACGTCATCTCCTAATCCCCCCGGTGCTGCAGCCTGACCATTAGAAGTTCTGAAGCCAGTGCTGAGTGAGGTGTTGACCTCTCTTAGCTTTACAGGATCAATAGATGATACCACCACATTATCATCCAATGATGCTGATACTGTTCTGTGGTTCCTTCAGGTGAGAAAAAAGCTCTTTCTTTGAAAAAAAAAACCTAAATCACGTGTGAAAAGATTCTTAAGCTTCAAATCCTGTCCCTCCACAGACAATCCAAGACAGAGGAGGAGAAACCCAGTTGCCTGGCCATACCCATTTAGTGCCACCTCAGTGACCTCAGGTTTGCCAGGCGTTGGCACAGGGCTGGCAGAGGTGACACGGGGGACACCTGCACCTTCCCCAGCGGTGGCTGGAGCCCAGCTTGGAACATGGCAAATATTTAGGCAACTGAACGCTGACCAAGTGATTGTATTTACACATTAATAGCACTTCACAACCTCCGATAGCAGCAATTATTAGAGGCAAAAAACCCCAGAAGCAACAAACTAATCCCAAACCAAAATACCTGTCAAAATTTTGTTTCATCTGTAGATGAGGAAAGCTTGGGTATACCCTTGGGTTGAGACCCCAGCATTTCAAGCTCCTGCCTGGTACCCCCCTGCTTATAATTTCTGACCAGGGTGAGGTGTGTTGCTGCCGTCATCTGTCCCTTTGGACACCTTCACACATTGTCTTCCAATGCACAAGTCTTTGCTGTGTGAAATGGTGAAACAGAGAACAGGGCACAAGTGGTGATATCAGCATTGAGTGAAATGAAGGTGAGGTTCAGGCGGTGGCCTCACACAGATGAGGCTGGGCACGTGAACCCTGCAAACAAAGCTGAACCAATTTCTTCATCTTTTCTGGAGGCCGGACCTCCTTTGTATGCTCCCAGGCTGGCTGTGCCTGTACCAGCAGATGGCTGATGGGACTGGTGACTACAGAGCCAGTGACTACAGTCCACTTCAGTAGTATTTTCTCATGTAGTATCTTGTGATGAAAAGTTGTTTGTGACCTTTTCTGTTATGAAGAAGCAATTCCTCATCTACAGTAGCCCTAAGAGTTTGCCAATATCCACGTCCCAGGCTTGGGTAGGTGCCCTTTCCTTATCCCATGACATGCTGACTGAGGTATCATCTTTCAGAAGAGCTGCAAACAAGCATTTTGGAGGCTGATGCCACGTAGGCAGCGCGTGCCCTGGCACCTCCTGGCAGCTGTTTGGGCAGATGCACCCAGAGGGTACCATTATTGTGTTCAAATCTCCCCACTCAGCCCCCGGCCACAGCGGCTGGTTTTTCCTCTGGGGCAGCAGCTCATCCCGGTGAGGGCTGGGGGACGGGCAGGGCTGCCTCTGGGTTGCCCCCTCCTCTCTGGGCAGGGACAGTCCCCCGGTGCTGGGGGACACAGCCCTGCAGCCAGCGCTTTCCATGGGCGCTGCTGAGGGCTGGGGTTTCCAGCCTGCTAATGCTGACTGACAGGACTGGTTTCTAGCTTTTTCCTCTGAAGAAAAACATTCTAGGAAATTGCACAACCTCCTTTGATCCTCTTGATAACTGGAATTTAAGGTTGCAAACCCACCCATTGGAAAGTTAGTGGAAGCCAGCTGCTGACTGCTGAGCAAACAGCCAGATCTGCTTTCCTGCCCTGCCTGCTGTCATCTACTCCTGACTTACACAAATGACAAACTTTCTTCTTCCTCCAGGTCCATTTGTCACTGAACGCGGATAAAGGCAGAGAAGGGTGAAGTGAGGTCGCGTGCACAGCCACGAGTCCCACCTTTTGGACGGCAGTTCTGCCAAGGAAACAGCTTCCCCTTGCTCTGCTTTAGAAATCACGTAGACTCCTTCAGCTCCGACCTGTCAGCACAGCTACCACTGAGCCAGCAGATGCTGCTGCCCTCTGATATCTTTCCAACAGCACATCTGAAATACGCTGCTTCTCCACAATTTCTCACTTGGGAAACCTTCCTCTGCTGTCCCAGAGGTCTCATTCCCCGCAGAAGCTCAGGACTGAACAGGCATAAAGGCTGAGCTCCTGCCTCAAGTGCTGGTCCCTTCAGGTGATCCACATTAAAGAAACAAATCAAACCAAACCACAACAAAACAAAACAAAAAACAGGAAAGCAGAGGAAATATCAGCAACTCAGCATCCATGATTTCGGACTGTCTGGTGAGAGTGAAAATTGCATAAACCCAAACACAGCGGCTGCACAAATCTGTCCCTGGTGCAGGATGTTAAAATAACTATGCTTTCATCTAATCAGTCTCTTAGAAATATTTTTTTAAATTCCTTTTTTTTAAAATGAGGCAAAATGTTGCATTTCCGGCAACAAACAGTAGCGTTTGGGGGCACATAATTAGATTGAAGCCCTTCGGTGGAACCAGGTCAGCGGCTGCCCAGGTTTCACAGGGTATGATGCACTGGAGATCTCCCACCAGGCTCTCAGAGAGCAGGTTAATAGTTAACAGCTTTAAGTCCAGTAGGGTTGCAGCCTGCTCTTTTTCATGTAAATAAAGCCCACTTTTTATCTACTTGCCAGTTCACTAATATAATCCTTAGTCCTGAAACTGCTCATACAGAAAATGAATGGTACCTGAACCGGGTACAGCAGCGCAGCACTCACTTCCCCAAAGAAAAAATGCCTAATTGCCCCCCAAACAACAAAACTCAAGAGAAGATGGAGCATTATTTACAGCACAGGGGCTGAGAGCCGTCTTTCCCCTCTTTTGTCCGTTTTCTCCTGGGACAGCATGCTGTTTGGGCAAACCACCCTCCCTCCTCGCCAGGGATGTGTGGGAAAACAGGATGAGGGGAGCAGCCACGTCGGAGGCTGCAGCTCAGGGAGGGATGAAGGCTCTGTCTGCCTGAAGGGTGGTCACCCCCCTTCTGTGCCTCAATCTCGTCGGCACAATAATCTCCTAGTGCCTTTTGGACACGTCATGTAAGACTCTGTGCTCATCCTCGTGGACAGAGGTTTACACGCCTTCCACAGAAGGCCTTCACAGGTCTCAGATGCAACAATAGCAAACCCTTGCCTCGGTGAGAACTGGTAAATTAGGTGGCCAGAACTGGAGATAAAAAACATCCTACTCAATCCAGATGTTTAATGGTGTCACTGGGTTAAAGTTTTCCCCTTCTCAGCACAGGATGTGAAGGAAAAGCTGAACCCAGAAATCCCAACGGCCTTTGGGGCTCTCCGGGAGGGACAGATGGGTTTGTATCACTACATGTCCCATCAAAGCAGAACCAGTTCACAAGCCCCCAAACCAGTGCAGCTTTACCCACCGCCGCCTCCTGCCTGCTCCGAGCACGGGCTGGGGGCTGCCGTTACCAGAAACCAACTTTGCCTCCACCAGCATCCCTCAGGAGCCAGCAAAAACTGCAACAAATCATCCATAAAAAGCAGTCAAAAAGGACTTCGTTTAATTAGTGATATGTAAAGACTTTTGCATAGAAAAAAGGTTAACAAAGTAATGCATAAAAGACCGACTAGGTACAGTATTTTTAAAACAAATATTTTAAAGTATATTTTGCATAATGTTTAACATTCTCAATGCTTATTGCTTTCTCCACACAGCAGAGAAATCAAGTGCATAATAATACATGCTGTGTTTTTTTGTTTGTTTGTTTTTTTTTTTTTACATAAAATCTCTAGGTCTTGACTGGATGTATTAAAATACTTAGGTTATTTTAAGTCACTGTAATAAAAAATGAAAGCAAACCATTTTATGCAGCACTAGTTGTCTGGGTATTGACAAAATAATTTACTGACATACCCTTTAATACATTCATTTTGGTTTGGAATCAAACCCACATTACAATGTTGGCGTGTTAATAGCCAATTTAAGAATTGTCCCTACCATAACTTCATTCATACCCAGAGCGATCGTTCTCCCTGTAGGTGATAGTGAAAAGAAGAGGGATCTTGCACAGAATCAGCTAAAAGTAAATGTCCAAATACAGCTAAATAAGTTAATTTGAAGTCTCGCCACACCGAGTCTCTTGTATCGGTGTGGATCGAGCGTATCCGAGTGTGCACACTTTAAGTAGGTGGTTACTCCCGGGTGCGTGACAAGCTCACCGTCTGTCAGACACACGCTAGCACCATATTGAAGCCATAAAACAGGGTGCCTGGAGGCTCACAGGCAGTGCTGAAACCTTCATTAATCCCAGCACTGTTAAAATAATTGCTTTTACCAATGCTATGCTAGATGTCACGATTTGGCAAGTCCGTACAAAGAAAGTGAACGAAGGAAGTGAGAAGTAGGCCTGTCAAGTTGAACATTCTTCCTTGGCAATCTTTTGGCTAAAAAAACCTCTCCCCTTCGAGAGCACGCTCTTCTCTGGAAGGATACCCAAGTCCTGGACGCAGGACTCCCCCTCTCTCCCATACCATCTCCTTACCTGTGCAATGTTATTTGCTTTAGCAGAAGACACACATATATAATATTTTTATTATTATCTTTTTTTCAATGTCAGGCACTTATGAAGCTCAAACTCTCTTTCCCAGCCCGGGGAGAGCTGGCAGGCGCCGTCCCTCACCTTGCTGCCCAACAGGGATGCATGGCTGGAGAAGTGTTAGTTCTGGCGCCCACGTGTTTCCCAGGACACCTCCACAGGCCGACGTGGCCGCGCCGCTACCGGCAGCCCCTGCTCCTCCCGCCGGCACCTCCAGAAGAACAGAGCCGGACAGAAGAAGGTGGTGGTGGTGGTACCGCCCCGTGTCCTCTCCGACGCCGGGAGGGAGGAGGACAGCCATGGTGTTCCTCGGTGGGCTGGTGGCACCTCCCTGTTGGCCTTCGGGGCGGTGGTGGGAGGGTGTGGGGATGCACGGGGGCCCGTGCTGAGGGAGAGGAGGGAGCCGGCCCGGGAAGGGAGAGGGGGCAACTTAAAAGGCCCCCACTTCAGTCCCCCAGGGTCGGTAGGGCTTCGTGCCGCCCCCGCTGCCGGCCTGCTGAGGGCTGGCGGTGGCAGACACGGCCAAGGGAGGGGTGATGGCGGTGGCCGCAGCCACGGCGGCGGCGGCAGCGCTGGGGGGGAGCATGGGGAAGGCGCCGGTGAAGGAGAGGGGGAAGCTCTGGGCAGCGGCCGTGGCTGCCGCTGCCGCAGCGTGGACGGTGGCGGAGAGGGAGAGGAGGGAGGTGGAGAGGGGGGGCACGCAGGGAGCCACGCTGCCGGCGGAGGGGACTCGGAGGGCGGCGTCGGCGTGGGCGAAGGTGGCGGTGAGCAGGGCAGAGCTGTGGTGGGGGGGCACGTCCGAGGAGAGTCTGCACGGGGCGGCCTCCGCAGCGTGGAGTCCGTTGGGCTGCAGCAAGGCGGCCGGGAGGTGGTGAAAGGCGGCTGCCCAGTGGTGGGGGTGCAGGGGGTGGTGGTGGTGGGCCATGGAGGAGGTCATGGCGGCGGCCTCCCTCTGCGAGGCGCAGGTGCTGAGGTGGGACACCAGCCGGACGCGCAGCGGGTCGGACGTGTCGAGCCCCTCCACTGAGGTCAGGTACCTCGCCACCTCCGTCAGGCACTCCCGGAATCCGATGCTCATGAAATCCATGGCCAGGGAGTGAGCATCAAAGTAACCTGCAAGGGGAGGGCAAGAGGCGCGTTGAGTCTCCCCAGCAGATGTTGGGGGGCATGGCTGACCCAGCCCCCCTCAGCCACCGCACCCCCCGGTCACGGGCTGAGATCTGCAACGCACAAAGTTTGTTCCCTCATCTGTATCTGATTTGTGTGACTGTCACTGTAATGCCACAGGCTGCCGCTGGTTTTGCAGAAAAGAATTAAGCCCATAAGTATTGGTGATACTCAGACACACGGCGCCTCTCCTGGAAGTCCCCAGCAAGCTCCCTCCCAACCAGAGGTTTATCCACCGAGGAAGGAGGCCATCAGAGAGCCCACAGGTCCTGCCCTGCCTGTCCTTCGTCCCCGCCAACACCCTCAGACGGCTTCTCTGCACACTGAGAGCGCAGCTGTAACCGCTGCCTGGGTCCCCTCCACTTCACAGAGTCATTAAGACAATATGACATACGGTGTTATTTAACTACAAACTAAAAACATCTTGTCATGACTCTGCACACACACAATAAAAAGCTTTACTGAGAAAATGTTTTATGCAATGCCATTACTAATTTGGAGATGGAAGACTGACAGTCATATGGCCCGTGAGGTATTTCAACAAACAGCAACTGGAGCTCCACAGGCCTGGGACAAAAAAGCATTTGAAAAAAAAAAAAAAAGTCTTATTAAATGCACATGAAATGATATTCCCTTTCTAAAAGGGTTTACCATCACATCTAGTGCTTTAGTTGCAGCTCGTCAACTACAAAAACCTTTTCCAGTTTTTGGAATTTTCTGATTTTAGTTTAAAAGTACCTTCCTTGGGGGAATAACGACCTATCCACTCCCAAACTGCCACCGGGCTTCTTCACAGAGCACGTCTAGGTACCCGCAACTAGGATGTGTGTTAGTATAGAGACGGTAACCAGGCGCCCTGACAGAGGGTTCTGGCAGCAGGACCTACATCAGGCCCCGTGCTCCCTCGCCTGAAATAACTCCAGTCTTTCTGAAAACTCCTACCGCCCCGCTTTCACTTCTACCCTTTCAAGCCAGAAAGGAGCCTTTCCATGCCTGCACACCCCGCTGGACAATTAACGTGGGCACATCTATAGACGTCGCCGTAGATGTGCCTCCTCTGCACCCCCTTCTCGCCCCACTGCCATGGCCCTTCTGGCACAGGCTGCCCCACTGCTCTGGGCCGGCAGATGGGGGACACGAGGGGCCGAGGGCTCGTCTCAGCGAGCCCCGACTCCTCACAGCTTTCCCCTGCCAGGTCCAGGGCGACCCAGGGACGTGTGGAAACGCTGGGGCCTGAGGAAGCTGCCCAGAAGCCACGGGCGGCCGTGGGGAGCTGCGGGGTACCTGTGCGGGTGCCAGCCAGCCTGGCACGGGGACAGCCTCCGCGCCCGAGGCTCCAGGACCTCCGGCGGATTCAGAGGGGCTGACGCCCAGCCAAAGCCACCTCCCGGCTCTGGCCAGCAGTCAGCCAGCCTGGGAGTCCTGGGAGCCTGTGGCTCCAGCCAGGGCTTCCCAGCCACCCTCCCTCCGGACTGGGGCAGACGCGGGGGATGTGGTTGTCACCAGCTTCCCCAGAGTCTCCGCGGCTGGCTCTGTGATGAGCCGGCCCAAAGCCCTGGTGCTCCTGGCTCCCTCTCAGTCTCCTATGGTGGCCGAGACACGAAAACAGAGGGGAGATGAGAGCTGGGACTCCCAGGCTCCGTTATGTTTTGATTTTGATGGTTATCTTTTCCAGGTTTCCCCTTTGCTGGCTTCCCCCTTCCGAGAGACGACTTTAAAATGCCGTTTCGTATATCTTTCCAAAATCCAAGAACATCCTCCTCCACCACCCCCCCCCCACAGGCACACACGCTGGTGTTTGCAGGGAGTGGGAAGTCTGTTTTTTCCCCTCAGCTCTCCTGGCAGCCCACCTGCCCCGCAGCAGGATGCTGGCCCAGTCCCTGCAGCTCCATTAGCCCACCGAAATTTGCAGTGAAGCTGCAAGAAAACCCCGCCGAGATGCCCGCACGCTCCTCACCGACGACAAATTACCCCTGCCCTGTGCTCGCCTGCAGGGTCGGCAGAACGCCCCAGCCCTGGCCCCAAACAACAGCTCCCGGAGGAGCGGAGCCATTGCCCACACCCGCGTCAGGGCAGCGGAACAGCGGGGCCCACAGGGGACCCAGGGGCCGTGCTGGGATTTCTTCACCATGCCCACGGCGGGCTCGGCACGGCGAGCAGCAGCCGGCTCCACCCCAGCTTCCCGAGCCCCGGGCATTCCCCATGGTGGGTGTCCTGCGTGAGGAGGAAGAGGATGAGCTGCCCCAGGCCCCAGCACAGAGGAGCATAAGGGCACGGGGAGCCGTTTCACCCTGCTGCCCAATGGCTCTTCTCCACGGGAAAAATGATGGAACTCATTTATTTGCTGATCAAAAAAACCTTCTGGCTCAAACGATGAGTTACAAAGTGGGAATAACTACACTTGCAAATAAAACAGGTATCTGCCTTAAGAACACCCTAAGAAGTTACGTTTAAAGCTGTCACTTCGGTTGCAAAGTGAAACATTAAGCGAGCAGGAAATGCAGCCTTAAATTTTGCCTGGTACTAACTCGCAAACCTCTTTCTCTTAAACTTTCTTAATCCGTGCAGCGAGATTACTCTTATCTCCGGGTCAGAAGGAGCAGATAAAGTCGCAGCACTTGAGGAGCCACTGGGTATTATGTGGCCGTGCCACTCACCGGGGACCGTGGCTCCCCGCGCCCCGCTGGGTCCTTCCCCCCGGGGCAGGGGGGACGGTGGCGGTGGCAGACCAAGGAAGAGACTGCGGGACCTGGGACGGCCAACAAAACCCATCCGGTCTGGGCACAGCCGGAGGCCGGGGCTCTGTCGGCACCTCTCCCTGCCCGCGCACTCCGTCCCCTGCCCCACCAGCGGGGCCACCCAGCCCGACATGGTGTAGACCACAGCCATCAGAGGGTGGGGGCTGCTGCAGCTCCCCAGAGGGGGATGCTGGGGGGGCTGAGCTGCGCGGGGAGGACCAAGCAGAACCTCCGCACCTTCCCCCGCGGCTGAGCCTCCCCGGCCATGCACTGAGCCCGGCAGTGCCCGCCGAGAGCTGGCCCAGGCCACACAGCCAGAGGGGCACCCTCACCCCACGGGAGCAGCCCAACTCACACTGCACAAGCACCTCCATTCCCACGTTTCCTAACCTTCAAGAGCGCAGCTTTACCAGCAAAATAGCACTTTTTAAAGAACGGTATTAGATATAAAAGGAACATTTTTTTTTTTAGGTTTAATTTTGCACAGTTTCCAAGGTGTGTCTGTTATACAAAGGGCAAGAAAATCCCTTTCACCTCTTATAGAACAAGCTAACCATAAATTCTAAGCTGAAATGGACTCCCAGCAAAAGCCTCTTAACACCTAGAAAGTACATATGTCAGCTGGGTGTTAATTTTCACAAATACCAGAACGCCAGCCTTCCCCGTGCCATCTGTTGTTAAGCAGGCACTGACTGCGAGCCGAGTCCTGCGATTGCTGCGAGGTACAGAGAGGAGCAGTAATTCAGCGGCGGGCTAAAAACCTTTGAGTTCAATCAAAGAAGGAAGAGAGCAAGCAGCAGCCACCTATTTTCTAGCCTCTAGCTCTGCAGCAGAGCGGGTGGATGAAAAACCAGCTGTTTGTGTTGCAGTGATTTGAACCCAAACCCCAGTCGGTGGCGTGGGAGGTGGGACCGTGCTTACAGGAGGCCGGCAAGTTTTTCACTGCAAATAAGTTCCAAACCCATGACTATACAGAAGCACCTCGTGGGTGGCTCCGCCAGCGGGAGGGCCAGCTTGCACAAGCGAGGACCAGCTTGCACAAGCGCGGCGCGCCGGGCCGGTGGCCGGAGGAGCGGGTCAGCCCGGGCAGCCCCCCCGTCACCCTGCACCCCCCGAGAGGAGCAGGGGGGCTCACACACACCAACAGCCCACCGACAGCAGCACAGAGAGCAGGCACCTCTGCTCCTGGCTCTATCCCACACCTGGAGCTGCCCAGAGCAGGACCAGGGCTCCTTCTGGGGAGCGAGACGGTCTAACCCAGCATTTAGAAGTCTTCCCAGAACAAAGAAAATACATAAACAATAATGAAAGTTCCTCTCCATCCACTTCCTCGGGTCTAGCTGCTGGATAATGAGGTTTAGTATCGTTTTGGGCTACACAATTGTTGCCACAAACCTCCTGTTTATGTTTGGTGTTTGTGTATTTGTTTTGTCTCCCTGTGCAGATTTCAGTGCTCTTTGGAAACCCCAAACAAATCTCTGACTGGGCTGCCTGTGAATGAAGCCTTTACTCCCACAGTGTTATGAAAGCAAACACAAGCCCAGGGTCAAGTGCCTCTTTTGTCCCAGTAGTTCTTTCCCACGAGTTCAATCCTGCCATTAGCATTGATTTCCACTCCTTTAATCTGGAAACGCCTATCACAGCTCCTCAAAGCACTTTTTCTTCTTTTTTTTTTTTTTTTTCCTGAGATTTCCCCAAATACTAGCAAAGAAACCGTCGGCTCCTTACCTTTCCCTCCCGTCGCCTGCAGCATCTTCAGATGATCCACTGTCATTTGCAGTATTTCCGCTTTTTCTAATTTCGCAGATCCCTTTGAGATAAGACACTCATATAAATAAAGGCTTACAAGTACTAGAAACTTTAATTTATATACTTTCCACTGAGCTCAGCCTTATGGTTTCAATTTCCCCTATCATTAGGACATTCTCGGCTTAATTCCTTTGTGAGCATCTGCCTCCCAGACTCTGTCTAAGGACTAACGCCGTCCCCTCTCCGGCGATACAGGCAGGAGCAGCACAATCCTGCTTCACCGAGGCTCAGCACAGCTCTGGCCCTGAAGACAGGGCAGAGATGACATCTTCATGAAACGAAATACCTAACTTTCTGGACTTTTTCTAACAAGCAGCACAAAGGCAGAGCTGGCCGAGCCGGGCTGCAGCGAGACCCCACCGCAGCATCGCCCATTGCTGTACCAGTAGGTGTCCCTCTGGACACACACCCAGAAGTAGCCCTCTGTCTTAATCGCCTATTAATTTTCGACATGTCATCCGGCTGCTGAATATTCTATTCTCATTCTCGACTGAAAAAACAACTGCAGAGCTCACAGTGTTTTAAGTTAGCGAGAGGCCAGTTTCGCAGGGACAGGCAGCTGAACACTGTGCGAGAGCTCAGCTCCTCTGTCAGCAGAAATCCTTCTTGTTGCTGAGGCTGGGCTCACACAACTATGAAAAAGCACTGGAAAAGTACAAAACACAACTCAAAAGGTGGCACTAATATATTAGTCTATAAATAAAAGTATTTTGCACGGTAGTGCTCCCTTCAATATCTGGAGCACACCCGGGCGACTGAGTTTACCACACAAATTATTCCAGCACGGGAGATCATCCCCTGGCACCAGCTAAACCCAGGGCTGCACGGCACCCTGTGAGCCACCTTCTCCTCTCCGTTACCAGCCAGTCCTCCTGCCACCAGCCCTCCCGGCTGTACCTGGGGACACGCTGACACCCTCCACAGCCCCAGCCCCTGTTGTTGGGGCTCACAGAGCAGAGCTGAGATTTGGGGACAGAGCGGGAGGCGGAAGCGAAACTGAACCTCCAGCTTGGAAACTAGCCCCAACCCCTGCCGTTGGGGCTCACAGAGCAGAGCTGAGATTTGGGGACAGAGAGCGGGAGGCGGAAGCGAAACTGAACCTCCAGCTTGGAAACTTGAGTGAGCTGAATGTCAAGGAGCTGGAAGGGGACCCACGACTTTGTCCTTGGCATGCTGCAGAAGAACGGTGGGGCTTTCCCAACAAAATACAGCCAGCGATCATTTTTATGCCAGCACATTTTACTTTTTTTTTTTTTCTCAAAGCACTTACTGCTTTCGGCACTTTCCTTGTACAAACGGTGGTGCGTGTTAATTTTTGGTCAGAATTCCCCATTTTACATGCGACTACATCCTGTACTTTTCTCAGACTTCATCTTTTCCATAGACACAGCACAAGCCATCTCAGTGAGAGTGACTAATAGCTCAAAACTGCATGGCGCTGGGTAATTTCCAAAGGCTCTGTAGGACTTGTTTTATAATGTTTGTGGTTTTCAAGAAGTAAACAATAAAATGGGACAAACAACTGTTGTCTCCTGCCCTGTTTATCTAGCTGAAAATACCCCTGTCGCTCCCTTCTGCCAGACCCTACGCAGGGGCACAGCTACAATTACTGGTTATTAAAAGCGTGTTGCAGGTGACACAAGTGATGCTCTCACCATCATACAATATTCTAAATTTCTTCTTAGCTTTTGTTCAGACCAGGGTGGTAACCGGCCTGACTCGCCACGCAGATACCACTGACACCTCACAAGCCCGCTCTCAAATTTCACTTTCTGGTTTTTATTTTAAAATTAGAAGGGAGTCAGGATCTTTATTTCCAGTAGGTTCCTTTTTATTGGTAGGTGGTGTCAATTGCACGTACCCATAGACCTTCAGACACCTCCAGCAAAACAGGAACAAGGGTAAACACTGAATCAAAGGCCCAGAAATAAAAATCAAAATATGGAAAATAAATAATTTAATTTTAACGGCATAAACAATATGCCCTTTTTCACAGGGCAGATCGTAGTCTAAGTTTTGGGTCTGTAATTTCATGACCCAGGAGCTGAACCAAAGTTCTCTGGGTCCTCCCGGCCTCCCCACCGAAACTCCTGGAACAGCCACCGACTCCACCAGGAGTGACACGGGGCTGGTCCCTCTCCCAGTGTCTGCTTCTAGGGAGTCCTTTAAAACATGAATAACCCAGACTGACTGTTGCCTTTTCAGGACACTGGATTGACTAATTTGCAACTGAAATTACAGATTAAAAATAAAGGTTTCTTAAAGTAGGGGTGAGTGAGATTACATTTAAAGATTTAGACAGAAGGCTAATTGACATACAGGTTTGGGGGAATTGTGTTTGGTTTAGGTTTTTTTTTTGTTGTTAAATGTGCAATAGAGCACATTTTTAACAAAACCACTACTGAAATTCGTCGAAAGAACAGAGGCAACACGAACACAGTTACCCTTAAGGGAAAAACAAGCCAAAGAATGGAAATGTTTTTCAGCCTTATAATGAATTATGTTTCTAATAGTTTTGCCACAAGAAAGCATTTTATTGAAATGCCTGTTTTGTGCCAGATCAGGACACATACAATATTATTTTAATGAGTTTTACAAGAAAACTAACATTGCCAGATGAGATACAGGATTTAAAAAAAAAAAAAAAAAAAAAAAGGGCTTACTTGTTTTTCAAAAGCCGTTGGCACGAGCCGCCTCAGCTCCGATAAACTGTTATTGATACGGTCACGGCGCCTTTTCTCTATAATCTATTCCCAAGAAAAACAAAACACATTAAGTTTATATAAAATGTCGCAGGGTAACAATCACAGCACACCTGAAAATTGTCACGCGGGAAAATACTGAAAGGCGACGTACCCCTCTCCTCTTCTTCCTGGCCATGATCTGAGACGTGGTTGTCGGGGAATGGGACCGAATGCCGGAGCCGTGACTCTGCCTGTGAGACGGGAGCGTGTCAGGTGTTGCACAAGGGACACCTCGGGGACACCGGGCACAGCCCCCCCCGCCGCCACCCCGCCGCCCAGAAGAGGGGCTCTGCGCCCACGGGCGGGTGAAGGAGCGAGACCCACGCACATGCCATTCACCGCTGCCCCCGGAACCCACAGCACACGCCGTCGGACACAGTCCCCGTCCGGGCACCGCGCAGCTCCGGCTCCGGGGGAGCAGGCGGCCTCCCCACCGCCCACCGCCGGGGGAACCCGGCCCCCCCGCCCGCCCCACGGCGGAGCCGGGCACCCCGTGCCCCCCGCTGGGCTTCCCGCTCCCGCCCGTGGCCACCGGAGCCGATGGATGCCCCGGCACAAAGCCCGTCCCGCACCAGGAGCGGGACCCGAGGGCCGCTTTTCAAACCTCACCGCCCGCCGGCGCGAAAAGGCTTTTATTTCACCACCAGAGAGGGGGAAAAAAAAAAAATAATCCAGGAGCTTTTAATGCTCCTTTAGCCGCTGGCGGGGACGGGACGGGGCTCCCGGTGCGTGTGTCTCCCAACGGCCACCACCCCCCCGGCCGCCCAGAGCGGGCCCGGGGCCGGTCCCGGGGGTCGCCCGGTCCCGGGGGTCGCCCGGTCCCGGGGGTCGCCCGGTCCGTCCCTCCCGCCGCTCCGCAGCCCCCGCTCACAGCCCACCTCCCGCCGGCCCGCCCCGGAGCTGCTCCGGGGAAGGTCCGATTTGAAAATGGCCAATTAAGCGGAGCTAATGAGCTGCAGCCCGGTGCCTCAGGAGCCACTTGAGCGCCCCGCGTAATTTGGAGGCCCGGGCAGCCAGAGCCGGGGCACGGTCCTGGGGGGGCATCAACAAGCGGCTACTTGGCCCGGAGGGGGACAAATCCGCCCCCTCACCCCCCCCGACGGGGCGGCCGAGCTTCCCCCTCGCTCTGCCCCATCCCGCGGCGCATCCCGGCCCCCCCCGCGGAGACGGCAGCCCCGGGGGGGTGGGGGTGTCCCGCTTACCCCGAGTAGTTGTTCTCGCTGCCCACGTCTATCGTCTCG